AATCAAAGTTTTTGAACCCGAGATCATCAATCCCATGAAAAGCACCATCAACAGTCCAAGAACAACATGCCAACAACCCAAATCCAATGATTCGATGCAAGAAGTTCAACACAGAAGCCAAAGACCCAAGCGAAAACGGATGCAAGAAGTTCAACACAGAAGCCAAAGACCCAAGCGAAAACGGAGAAGACCCAAATATTGGGATGATTACATACATTGAAGTATGACTATGTTATGAGAATGTTGGGGTTCTGTTTATTAATCTTAGTCGTCAATTTTTTTCCTGTTATTTTTGTTTGATCAAACATCTGATTTGACAATAACATCAATTATGGTAAAACCTAGTTTCCGGCTAAGAGACTTGATTATACAATACCGTCTTTTCTTTTTTTCTTATTGTTCTTTTGTTGTGATCTTCTGTTTATGCACTTTCGATTTCCGTGAGCTTTCAAGCATCAATCAAATGATTGTCCTATCTTAACGACTCCACTAATTGTTTGAAACTCAAAAATACATTATGTTTCTGAACTAAAATTATGGTATGAAGATATATTGTTCTGATGATTATCTTTGAAACATATGCAAGTTTATTTAACGTTATTATACAGTTAGATGACACCTTTTTTTTTCTTTTTCTTTCGCCTGGTTCAAATAGGCCTTCATTCAGTTGAATAAATAAATTTAGTTTGGTGAGATACACTAAGAATTCAGATTAAGATAAAAAAAAAATTGTTTCCTTATTCAGAAAGTTCGCAAATTTTGTTTCCTTATTTTTTTCAATGGAGAGAGAAAGGAAAAAAAATATCTCATAATAGGACAAGATTTGATTGGATATACTTGTTTAATAATTTTAATTATGTGTAAACATGAGACATTTAAAACTGGAATCAATTACAATCATAACATAATTAAATTCAGATATCTTTTATTATTTTAGTTATTTATATGATTTATTTTGGCTCATTTCAACTTGTAAGATATTTTAAAAAGAAGAGTGTATAAATTTGTTTTTATAATATTTTTAATTTCATATATGATTATACTGAAAAACTTGCTGAGATTTACAATCTACGTGAATACACAATATTTTCTATATGATAAAATTCTTCTGATTGAATAATAAACTTCTATTTTGTTGTCATATCGTGCCAAATATGGTTTTCGATTCAATCAGTTATATATTTATACGATTATCAGATATTCTTGTTTAGAAATTCATGGTGTGTGTTTCATTCTTCATACGTTATCCTGATATTGAAATAATTGATTATCATTAATCAAATAAAAAAAATAATATATTTGAATTAATTTATTTTGTATTCACAATAGCCTATAAATAAATGCTTTTAAAAAATTCGAATTTTTCTCTCTCTATAATATAAACAAATTCCATCACGCGCATACAATTTAAGTTAAATTTTCTTGTCAATTGTTATTTTATATCAATAAAAAATTATAATACTTATATAATTTGTTGATTATATATTTATTTCAAAAGAAAATTTCAAGGGTTTATTAGTTAGTTAAAACTGATATCTCTTTTATAAAATAAATAATCATTTGATACCAAAATAAAATAAAATAATAATAATCATTTAAGTTATATATCTATAAAAACTATTGTTGTTATTATAAATAAGTTAAAAATCTGCTGCCCTCATGTCGAAAAATAAGTCACTTTTTTTTATATAAAAAAAATCAATGAGCCCCACTTTATTTAGACTAAACCTATTTCAATTTTAAATAGAACATATCTTCTTTTACTCTCTTTTTTCAACGATAAAATTCCTCAATTTTCAATTTTTGAGAATTTGAAATCTTGGAGTTCTATTGAAAAATAGTTTTCAACAAAGTATATGTTCCACGATGAAAAATAATGATTTTTTTTTAATTTCGTAAGGAGTTCCTTGGTCAAAAGAAATAGAGAGCAATTTCAAAAAAATTATGTGTAAAAGGAAACAAGATCGAAACTGTGCATAAATCCGAATGATAATTGATATCATATACGATAGAATTAATAGAGCATAAAATTAATAGTAATTAAATAAATTGTATTTATTAAGTGATTTAAAAATTGAAAATGATTGAATAAAATCAAAAAAAATTTGGTAAATAATTTGAAAATAACTCTGACTTTGTGTTGATATAAATAATAATGCCGAATTTGGAATCGATTCCATGTACTCCACCATCGTCACCACCTTCAACTCATCTTTTCTTTGATCAAAAACCTCCTCTTCCCTCTTCTTTCATTCCCTCTGTTTTATCCCTTAATTCAGAGTCTTTGGCAACACCAATCATTGATGACTTAGTTGTTGAAACCAAGCCCTTCATACAAGATTTGAATTTTCATCCTATTGAACTTTCCATGCCCTTTAATCACACTCCAACAGTATCTGGTTACAATCTTCGTCATGATGGTGTTCTTGATGATGGGCCGAACAACAGTGGAGGAGAGAAAATCAAAGTTTTTGAACCCGAGATCATCAATCCCATGAAAAGCACCATCAACAGTCCAAGAACAACATGCCAACAACCCAAATCCAATGATTCGATGCAAGAAGTTCAACAATGATTACATACATTGAAGTATGACTATGTTATGAGAATGTTGGGGTTCTGTTTATTAATCTTAGTCGTTAATTTTTTTTCTGTTATTTTTGTTTGATCAAACATCTGATTTGACAATAACATCAATTATGGTAAAACCTAGTTTCCGGCTAAGAGACTTGATTATACAATACCGTCTTTTCTTTTTTTTTCTTATTTTTCTTTTGTTGTGATCTTCTGTTTATGCACTTTCGATTTCCGTGAGCTTTCAAGCATCAATCAAAGGATTGTCCTAACTTAACGACTCCACTAATTGTTTGAAACTCAAAAATACATTATGTATCTGAAGCTAAAATTATGGTATGAAGATATATTGATCTGATGATTATCTTTGAAACATATGCAAGTTTATTTAACGTTATTATACAGTTAGATGACACCTTTTTTTCTTTTTCTTTCGCCTGCTTCAAGTAGGCCTTCATTCAGTTGAATAAATAAATTTAGTTTGGTGAGATACACTAAGAATTCAGATTAAGATAAAAAAAAAAATTGTTTCCTTATTCAGAAAGTTCACAAATTTTGTTTCCTTATTTTTTTCAATGGAGAGAGAAAGGAAAAAAAAAATCTCATAATAGGACAAGATTTGATTGGATATACTTGTTTAATAATTTTAATTATGTGTAAACATGAGACATTTAAAACTGGAATCAATTACAATCATAACATAATTAAATTCAGATATCTTTTATTATTTTAGTTATTTATATGATTTATTTTGGCTCATTTCAACTTGTAAGATATTTTAAAAAGAAGAGTGTATAAATTTGTTTTTATAATATTTTTAATTTCATATATGATTATACTGAAAAACTTGCTGAGATTTACAATCTACGTGAATACACAATATTTTCTATAAGATAAAATTCTTCTGATTGAATAATAAACTTCTATTTTGTTGTCATATCGTGCCAAATATGGTTTTCGATTCAATCAGTTATATATTTATACGATTATCAGATATTCTTGTTTAGAAATTCATGGTGTGTGTTTCATTCTTCATACGTTATCCTGATATTGAAATAATTGATTATCATTAATCAAATAAAAAATAATATATTTGAATTAATTTATTTTGTATTCCCAATAGCCTATAAATAAATGCTTTTAAAAAATTCGAATTTTTCTCTCTCTATAATATAAACAAATTCCATCACGCGCATACAATTTAAGTTAAATTTTCTTGTAAATTGTTATTTTATATCAATAAAAAATTATAATACTTATATAATTTGTTGATTATATATTTATTTCAAAAGAAAATTTCAAGGGTTTATTAGTTAGTTAAAATTGATATCTCTGTTATAAAATATATAATCATTTGGATACAAAAAAGTAAAAATAAAAATAAATAATCATTTAAGTTATATTTCTATAAAAACTATGGGGAAAACTTTTCTTATTTTACATAAATAAAAACCTTATCTCCTATTGAAACAAAATGGTGGGACCATTTTCTTAAAAAATAGTAAAAATTAAAAATAAATTTGACACATAGTTTCATGTATCTGTAGGAAAAAGCTCTTATCACGTGTGGCTGAAGACAATCATTGCCCAAAAACTATTGTTGTTATTATAAATAAGTTAAAAATCTGCTGCCGTCAAATCGAAAATTAGGTCACTTTTTTTTATATAAAAAAAATCAATGGACCCCACTTTATTTGCCGGGAAGTAGAACTTCTCTCATAGACTCATATCTACAAAAAAAGAAAAATATGTTATTTGTGGAGGTTATTTTTTGGAGGTAAATAAAACCTCCACTAATTATGTATATTGTGGCATTTTTAGAGACCGACACTTGTGTTTCCACTTTTTGTTAGTTTTTATAATTTTCACTGTACCAAGTTAAGAATTTAGCGGCCCTTTCTCAATGGCGATTACTATTAATCACATCAAAACGTGAAATTAGAAGGAACATGACTTTGATTTTCTTTAACGCCTTTAGGAGTGAATCATCAACTCAAGGCACTGGTGATTGGTGGAACTTTGATTTCCTAATTCAACTGTTATAAGTGAAGCTTCGGAGCTTAGTAATTTTTAATCTACGTAGCACCGATAGTGACACGTGACACGATATAACACGACACTCCGACACCATAATTCTAAAAAATATTAGATTTTGATATGTTAGGACACGTTTTGATATTAATAATATTTTTAATTTATGTAGTGTATATTATATTTAATATTCAATCATTTAACAAAAAATGAAACTAAACATATAATATTTATGAATTTTGCAAAGAAACATAAAATATCCCAAATATTTATATTAAACTCAATAAAATAGTAATCATAATACAACAACGAATTAATAGTTGGAGCTAAAAACTCAACACAACAAAATCTTTGAATTTTTTTTGAATTTCTATAATGCAGAGAGTGTCGAAAAGTGTCGGACACGACACGTCAAGATTTTTAAAGTGTAATGATTTATTATTCCTATTTTCTTCTATTCAAGCTTGGTGCGTCTTAGTCGCTGCAATAATGACTTCGTAATTTTTTCTTGTTGGTAGTTAATGACTTTGTATTTTTGTATAACGATGGCGAGTGGCGGCAGAGATTCGAACGACATGAGTATCGAAGGAGAATATGCTGCCAAGGTACTTGGATATGCATGTGGATGTTGAATTTTCTCTTGATATTGTCCTTAATTTGCGTATGTTATTCTTAAAACTTGATAAGATTTTGCTTTTGGAAGCTGGCTCTGTTTTTGCACATCAACTGTTTGATGAAATTTTCCTTAGAATGTCTCCGGAAATCTCCTTGTATATTGAATAAACTATTATAGACATCATGTTACACATAGCAATAGAAATGGCGATGAGGAGGTTCTTCAATGAGATAAAGGGAAAGAAAGTCACCGAGGTTCCTGAACACATGAAGCCGATGTTGTCATTTAATTACATCAAGAGATCCATTCAGAGAGCGATGGACAATTACCATGCCAAGTACATCGAAACCGATTCTCCTGAACAAGGTGAAGTGCAGGGTGCATTTTAGTGATTAAAATTCAGGTGGTAACCACATATATGAAAAATAAAGAAGTTGTTTCTCACCTAGGAAAGTACCCATACTTTAAAATATCTATTATACCAGTTTTTGATACGAACTTGTATTGGATATGGTATGGATACTCCTTGAACACCATCCTATAATTTTTTGAAAAATGTTGTATCCCCACATCATACAACCTTTATATGGAATACTCGCACTTGTATTTGTGCCGACATAGGTTTTCATAGATCCATTGTTTGTAATTCATGTGCTTGTATTTTATAGAAATCTAATCTATTGATTTTATATATCATCATATCAATGAATATCACACTTTCTAAATTCTACAGTCCATTTTACATTGTAATTCACTCTTACAATGTTATCTTATATGAAATACACAAATTCAAGCAAGGTGCTTTGATGCAATTTCTAGTTCCTTAAAGCAATGTTAAGCTGACTTCATATAATTTACACTTTGAATTTAATTTTAATTTTAATTTTAATATTTCTTTTCTATACAATTGGAGGAATAGTGGTACTTTAGTAATCATTAGTTTATCTCAAGCTATTTTGCTTGCTACTGTTCTAGAATCTTTAATTCCTTTTAGGAATTCTGATGTGACTATGGGAGCAACAGAGCCTCAATCAGATATGTTTTCGTGTTTATATATATATATATATATATATATCCCTTTTGGCATTACTATTTCTTTCTTTTATAATTCTTGCTAGTTATTAATTTTGTCATCTGTAAGTCAAAGACACCAGTACTTGGTAATGCGTTTAAAGGTCCAATACATAATTACTGCTATAGGATTATACAAAACGAGTAATATTAGTTATGAATCCTTCTAGCACCCTTCCTTCTTATGTGATACATTATAGTAGTGGCTCAATTTTTGATTTCTATGTAGTTTTTCTATTTTGATTTCTTTTTCTTTTTTTTTGGTATTCACTATTTTGATTTCTTAGTTATTGAGGATGTATACTGCTTGCTACTGTTCCCTGTAGATTCCAGAGGCTCCCCGGAGCAATTCCATCCTCAATGTTGGGTTTGGAGGCTTTAACAGGAAGTCTTGATCACTTCAGTTTTGAAGATTATCTTAATGGTAATGATATGATTTCCTTGTCTTTTTGTAATGTTAGCTTAGAGTATTTACCGATTGATGTTTTTCCCCCCTCATTAAATTGGCTGAAAATGGAGGTACATTTAATAAATAAGGACACTTCGAAGATGATTCAAACTCATTGTTTGTGTTGGTTTTGAACTTTTTAAGACTACATTAGCACTATAATATAAGACAAGGAACTAATCCTCCTTAAGAGCAACCTAATGACCCCTTGCCAATTAAGTGCTAATTTTATTCGTTCCATATATTCAGTGCAATGCCAAATTAAATCAACAAGTGGTATAAAAATGTGTTTTTGCAGGGTCTTACAACCATCTTCTGGGGACAAATAATCCTACAAAAACAAGTTGGCCTGAGCTGGTTGGAGTCACTGCAGAAGAAGCAGAGAAAAAGATAAAAGAGGAGATGGCTGGGGTTGAAATTCAAGTGGTGTTTCCCGGTTATTCTGTCACTTTTGATTACAAAATCCAGCGAGTTCGATTGTATGTTGATGAATCAAAAAAGGTCATTAGGACTCCAATGATTGGCTAATCCATCTCCCATATATCATTGAATAATTCAATGTTTTCGTTGGTCTTTTGCTGTTTTGGCTGAGAATATCTTCATGTTACTTGTGCATTGCAATAAAAGTATATTATATCTACCCTTCAAAGTTATAGCATGTTGTGTTAATAGAATATGTCTCTGTTGTGCAGCCAATATTCCTTCAAAGATGCTTAGACTACAACATAAAGGCTAAGCACAAGAGGAGGTAAAAGTTATCATATTTACCCTTCCTTATCCTACTTTCTCTCTTTAATAGATTTATGTCAGTTATATGCCATATGTCCTTGGGGTAATACTTGCATAGTTCAGTTTTTATTTTCAACAATTTTATCAGGGTCACCTGACCTAATTGTTTTGCTTCCTTCATTTCTGTTTCAGTTGACTCCCTCAAATCATGAATCTCACCTTCATCTTCCTCAGCGGAGTAAATATTTTTCAAGATTCTTATACCTTACTCTTCCCTTCCCTGTTACATGTTAAAGAATTAACCATAGTAAGATGTGAGAAAACAAAACACTCTTACAATTCCATGCTTCCATGCTATAACATCATAAAAACTGATTCATATTTCTACCGTCATATCACCCAAAATAAACCACTTGAATACTAGCCAAATCATATAAAAATATATCTTGGCGCTAAATATGTAAATTTTTGTTTGTCATCGAGCAAATTTCTGCCAAAAATTTCGTCTTCCTGTACCAAGTCATATTTTCAGTAGGGAAAAGATTAACTTCTAAATGACACTAACAACAAATTGAATACACATAGAAGCTAGCTTCTACCCTCGTCCATGGAACCAAGTAGCCTAGTTTCCAATATCATTTTGCTATATTTGCCAAGCAATTTCTCTTTCTGACAGGGGCAGAACACTACCAGGTATTAAACAGTTCTAATTTAGCAGGGATTTCATTATCAATTTAGGAAACTCAACGAGACATTAAAATTTCAGGTTCTTAAAATTAAGTGCAATAGAAAATAGAAAAAGAAGAGTGCAGTTTCAAGCTGAAAATATCAGGCATTTTTTGGTTCTGGACATGCTTTAATTTGAAGAGGCTTATTACCAGTGCAGCCACAACACCATTAGCAATCTGTAACCTCGTCCTCCAATTTAAGGGAGTCTTTAAAGGGTCTGCCTTAATATAATATTTAGTCTTTCTTAAACTTTATTTAAGAAAGACCAAAAATATAATATAATAAAATAAAATAAATTTTATCTTCAAAATAAACAAATAAAAAAAAGGTATATTAATCTAAAATATTTAGTATTTATGCTTTGGGATTTTTCCTATCTAGTTTCTGTGATAGCTATGATGCATATGAAGAATATGGCAGTTTATGTGCCTACTTAATTGCAGGATTGTGGAACCCTTGGTGCATGGAGACTATATAATGGTGGAAAGAATCATTGTTCTATGCTGAGAAATCGAATGCTAGCGAACCCTTCTTTTCTTTTTAAAGTTGGAGCTGAGGTTTGTTTCGTATTGGTGTATTTTAATATGGTTATGATATGAACTTCATCAAGTGCTGCTTAGGTTTTTTGTTTTTGTTGGATTAGACGTGGTAACCAAGTTATCCTTGATCTGGCACGTGCAGATTATTATAGACTCTTGTTGTGCAACGTTTGCGGAGGTTCAGAGAAGAGGGAAGGATTTTTGGGCTGAATTTGAGTTGTACGCTGCTGATCTTCTGGTTGGAGTGGCTGTTGACATTGCTTTGGTGGGTATGTTAGCACCTTATGCTCGAATTGGCAAGCCTTCTGTGTCAAAAGGTTTACTTGGTCGCTTTCAACATGCTTGTGCAGCTCTTCCTAGCAGGTTAGTGTCTGCATTTATGTATGTAGGTTCATTAAGGATGATATTTTTTTTCTATATCATTTTTATTACACTGTTTTTACAGTCCTTCAAATTTGATAAGAAAACAAGAAACAAACATAATAAATAGTAAATAGAAAGTATACTATTGGATATTATTTTCAATTGATATTATTTTACTATTAGATCAAATAGTAAATAGAAAGTATACTATTGGAGCCAGCCAATTCTGATGCTGAGCTTCACCTTGGTATTTATATTTCCTTGGGTATTTATTTTTTAATTTTGGTTAATTAATTTTTTATTTTTAAAGTACAAAAGCCAACAAGCCACCTTCCACTAGCATTCCTAAATACACCCTCACAAGCAGAAGCTTCTCCATTATTCATTTTCCACATTGAGCTTAACCCAAGGGTCCGAAAAAAAACCCATCTAATTTCTCTTTATTCGAGTTAGTATCTTCACCATAGACCATAGCAGCTCTAAAAGTGCCATAAGCATTTTCCAGCTTCATATTTCCTTGGGTATTTATTTTTTAATTTTGGTTAATTAATTTTTTATTTTTAAGTGGCGTTTGCTAACTTTTTGCTCCCATCTTAGTGTATATCCTACAGACACATCCATATTTCTCTCGCTAACTTTTTGCTCCCATCTTGGTGTATATCCTACAGTCACATCCATATTTCTCTCATGTAAGGGCAGCAGAAAGTAGCAGAAGGAGGACACAGTAGCTTGATTACGTATGGATCTATAAACTTGAGTTTATATATTTGGGAATGTATTATAATATCCTAGCTCGTGCCTTGGATATCTTCTGTTTATTATAGTTTAGTTTTCTTGTGGAGTGTAACAACATTATATTCAGTTGACGAACAATATTATCGCCAATTGTTGAAAATTATATTCAGTTTTCTCAACCATATTGGCTTTGTCCTACTTGCTTAATTGTGGTTCTCACTTCCATTTATCTGTTCTGGAGCTACATTGTTGCTTTTGAATAACTAGTATATAGTAATTTTTTTCAAGGAAATCTTAAGAGATTTAACAAGTAAATAATGAATTGACTAATAAATCAAGTGATTCGCCCAATTTTCAAATTGTGATATATAAATCTTTCAACTTATAGATACTGGTAGTCTAAAGTTACCACAAAATGTGACATATAGTGGAGGTTTAAATCTTCCAAAATGATAAAAAAAATTGTGGTGGTCTATGACCTCCAGGAAGTTATAAATATGGTGGAAGTCTATAAGTGACATTTGTGGGGGTTCTGAACCTCCAGAAAATTATATAACATTTGTGACAGTCTGGAACCTCCAGAAAATGCAATATTTGTGGGGGTTCAGAACTTCCAGAAAATATTTAAATAAATTGTAGAATGCCACAAAAGTCTTTTGTGGGGGGTCAAAGACCTCCACAATTTGCAAATTTGACCCCCACAAAATACCTTAATTTTTGTAGTGATACTACTGTAAAAAAGTAATGCTCTTATTATTTACGATAAAGTAATAACTGATTAATTTTTATAGATGTTTGAATTCTGAAATTTGAAGTAAAAATGTATTTTCATAATTACAAAAGTACGAGTTTATTTAATTGAATCATATTAAATAAAATAGACTTGATTCAATACCGTCTTTTCTTTTTTTCTTATTCCGCTCCTGTTGTTATCTTCAGGTTCTAGATCTGCACTTGTGGTTTCCGTGAGGTTTTGAGCATCACCGTATTGTTTCTACGTAACGACTCCCACTACTTGATTGAAACTCAAAATACATGATGTTTCTGAAGTTAAAATGAAGCCGGAAAATGAACATTTATGTAATTAATTAAAATAATAAAAGATATCTAACTTTTATTTAAGTTATTATTATAATTAATTTATGTTTTAAATGTCTTATTTTTTCATCTAATTTAATTTTTCAAAGAGAAATGTGTAATCAAATATGTGAAAATGATTTTATTTTTCTCATTCTCTCTCCATAATAAAAAAAATTCATAATGTGCATAAAACTGCTGCATTTTCGACCTTCACATTTCAATATATTGGGCCAGCTTGCAAAGGCCTATTGCTGGGTGGTTTGCTGATGGTGGAAAAAATGTATATTCTGATGCAGGACGTTCCTCTGTTCTAAATTTGCAAGGGAGAACAGATTTGTTCCCTTACTTCCAACCCAAGTGCGCAAGTGCACGCATCAAGTAATAATGGGTGTATTAATGCCCAGATTATCGTTCCCACGAGGATAGAACTCTAAATAATGTCTTAAACTATTTTATAAAGAATGAAAATGAAAAGAAAAGTTAGTGATTGAACTGTCTGGTCAAACGTTCCCCACTGTCTTGACAACGTTCCTCAAGAACAGTAAGTTCAGTCTGATGGCAAACAACTACTCGCTTCGTTATATATGTGATCCTTCCTGTTTAAAGAAGGTGTGATAATAATCATTTGAGATTGATAGATACAAGATTGAATAAAGTAAAAATAAAACAGTAATAACTATAATCAAGAGACAACAAGGTGGATGGTTTTAAAAACAGTTTTAACACAAGGAACGGATTTACTGATCCATTCTTAAATAGTTATTTTCTCTGTTCAAGACTTAGCATCTTTTGGCTTTGTCCCAATTTCTTAACTGCCAACTCTGATTCCTCAGCTCATGGACTAAATGGCTCACAAGTTTCCATATTCCTATGGCTCCCTTGACTCCAACAGGTGCTTGGTACAGAACTTTAAAATGGACGAAGTGGCCCCTTATTCCTAAGGTAACCAATAGTGTCGTTGCCAAAACACTACCTTCTCCCACTGACTAAGCTGTCTGAAATCCCTTCCCTAAGGAAGTTCCTTTCTCAGTATGTGTTCAATTTCTATTGATACACAATGAATATAGCTTACTTAGTAAGAGAAATACAAAAAGCTTCAGTCAAGAGTTTTGAAAATAATTATTTAAGAGCTTTGCAGCTCTCCGTTCCACAGATGGTTCAGCCCATGGCTGTTAACTTAAACATAATTATTCTAAGCTGAAATCTCATAGACCCGAGATTCAGTTCAGAGATAACGAATGGAAATGAAAGAAGAAACACTTATATTAAATTGAAACAAGAAAGATTACAACAAAATATAAAGTGGAGAAGATGGTTGATGCTCGAGAGGAGTCTCAAGTGAATGATACAGAATAATAAGAAGTGTTGTCACTTAACTATAATTACAACTATACAAAATTAAACTTTAAACAATACTAAGTTGATCTCTTCTTAAGGAATTTGATCCCTTAGGAATTCGATGATGTCTTCGTGTTTGGGACGTCCTATTTATAGGCAGAAGAGTGAGTGGCAGTCTTGTAAAATTCATTAGAATTGGTTTCTGGACAGTATGGTTGGGGCGGTGGCAACAGTGTTTGGAAGCTTGCAACTTGTTGGATGGGACAACTTTTGTTGAGATTTGCCGTTTTATTGCAGTCCCCCATGTCTTTCTTTCTTCTCAGCCAATGAGAACTCTTTATTCCCTGTTGTTCACGTTTCTTTGTGCCTGAGTGGTGCACCGCCTCTGCTTTACGAAGACGTTGTTTTCACGTTTCCCGCAAAGTGATCAGAAACATTAAATGAGTAGAGCAGTGCAATAAATGCTCTCAATCCCCCTTTTAATATGTTTTCCAAAGGATTACGTCATCATCCGTTCCCCCACTGTGTTTTTGTCACAAAAGTGTAACATGCTGAAGTTGCTCATCAGATGAGGGAACATATGGTATTTTGCCATCAAAATGGGCTTAGATGGGAACGAATTTACGTCCCATCAAACACCCAAAAACTAAACTGTTGGTTGTCCTCAAACAACTCAGAAATAGTGGTTTAGGCTGCTCAATTTCAAAGAATAGCTCAACAGAAAGAAACTTGAGCCAGTGAGCAATCATAAGCTTTTCAAAAAATGAACTACTTTTCATGGGTAACAAGTAGAAAGAATTTATTCCAAGGTAAGTGAAGGTTGCTGATCTTCTGTCTCACTATCAATCAGGGCTTGGTGTTTTCTCTGTCCATTCCTAGATGTGATTCTTCAGAACTTGCTTTTCTGCTGCTTTCCTATGAATTGCAGATGTCTTCCCTTCCAAGGATCTTTTGGAGAAGTGGGTTTATGGTGGTCATAATCATGTTTGGCCGAACTTACAAGGGTGTAGGGGTGGTTTTGACGTTTTTCGTATTATGATAGAATTGTCGTGCACTGATGATTCGTACATGGTTGTTGTAGGTTACCGTACGTTGATTTAAACCTCGAACCGTGAGTCGGTGGATTGCCCTTGGTCTTGGACCAAGTGGGATTGAGGTAAGTGATTGGAACAATGCTTGTATAATTAGTAACTTGCATGTGTTTGTATGAGTTTTAAGTAATTGGGAATGTCCTATGTGTAGGCATTTCTGTTGAGTAAAGAGCTTGGAAAATATACTGCTTTGGAGCTAAGTGGAGAGGCTTATTAAGGTAACCTCTTGGTACTGGGGCTTGATCCCCTTGTGTGTTCCACCATTCCCGTTGAGGGTGATGGTAGGAAATGTATGTTAGTAATGTAGAACAGCATGATCATGCATTTAGTATGTATGTTGGTACATAGGTACCGAGTCTCTGGCCAGTAGACAGTTTGCCTTCGGGCGTTGCGGACTTCCACTGGATAGGTCTCCGAGAGGGAGTTCCAGTTGACCTAGGGTCGTGGTGTGTGATCCAGATAGGAGCACATTAGGAAGTCTCGAGTGTATATGGATGGGAGGGGTGTCTTGGTTGGATGTTCTAGGAACACGCCTTGGTTAGACCCGTAGGCTTATATGCTGAGCCATTAGGCAGGACGTTGCGTGGTATTGGTAGTTACCATTCCAGCTTCGTCGTATTTTGTATCCCTATGATTCCCAGTTTCTCTAAATCCCTTGCTATATCCCGTTTTTCAAGATGTTGTTTTATATTATTTATATGCATCGAAGTGAGCCATTGGGCGGAGTTTTCTCCGGAACCTCTGAGTTACTGAGATATATTCGTATATCTCACCCCGTCTTGGGGGCATTATTTCAGGAGGTAGCAGTGGCACAGGAGCGGCGGCAAGAAGCTCGTAGGATGAGTCATTGGAGGACTTTATGCTTTTTGCATTTTGATGGCCATTGGGCCTAGGCTAGATTTAGGGCATGAACATTGTATTTATTGATAGGATGAGTTTTATGTTCATATTTGTTCATGCTATTTTGCCTATGTCTAGATACAAGTAATTTATAGCATTTGGAGATTTATGAATTATGTTGTAATTGGATAATTGTAAATATTGTATTTGAACCTTGTGTAATTTGAAGCATGTGTAATACGATGAAAGGGAAACAGGCCTATTTTAGGATTATGACTATGTGTATGATTAGCCAATGCATATAATTGGACTTTGATGATTGAAACGTATTAAGTAATGATAAAGTAAGCAATGTGATACGTATTATATAAGTAAAATAAACTGTGATGGGTTGTAAGTGCCCCAAGGCATTGTTGGTCCTTGTGTGTGCCACCCAATGATTATTAGGTACATTTGAGGTCCTAGATTACGTTAGCAAACTTGGGGATTTTTGTAAAAACCAAAGAAACTCTAGCAAAATTTCTAGAAATTGGCATAATTTAGGAGAACTTCGGGAGAGCATATCTCCCTCGACATAGGTTTGATAGGGACGTTCCATACGCCATTTTGAAGCTTACGATGTTCTCTACCTTGTAGTAAAATTTGGGAAAATTCTGGGTTGAAATCCGGCCTGTATAAGGCCGAGAGTGCAGACTGCCCATTTGGTCACTGCACTTATGGCAGTTCTGGACCGGTATTGGGAAATTTATTCCCGCTTCGTTTATTTGGGTGTCCTAGAGAC